ATAACCAAAACACCATGTTTAATACACATTCAATACATGTACAGTGGAACCACGATGTTCCGTGGGAGGTTTGAAACGACAGCGAGACAAACGGATTGTCGATAATATAGACCATAGCCCCAATAGAGACTCCTTAGAGACAATTACAGGCCGCGACAATGCGTTAGAGGAATTTAAATGGGCATGTAATCGTTGTTTTGATATACAATCCATCTTACAGTAATGTCATTATAGGCCGTATATTTCGAAAATACGTTTTAAAAAAATAAACCAAAGTTACGCCTTATATATGGCAAAAAAAGATCTGTAGTAATTTAAAAACACCGTCTGTTGTATATAAATACGGACGACACTCATTTTATCGACAGGAAAAGACATTCAAAAGATTCATATTTGTAAATGTTCACAAATTGCAAATGGCGGCCAGTGTCATCTCCATCGATACGGCAGTTAAATACGGTCAATTTCAATGCTTATAGATACTCTAAACACCTTAGAATACAATAATCGTCTTCTTAAATACCTTGAATATGCAGCCTAGTAAACATCTTGTCAGTAGAAGACCTCGAAACGATGCTGTAGTCAACGAAATGCAGAGCGATAGCTAGTAAGTGCAGTAGCGATTCTGTTAAAAACAGAGGGGGGACGTTGGCAACGGCAACGGTAACTATATGGAAACGAAGTCAGAACGAGGCGTCATCGAACATTTCCGGCAACGTCAAGCAGCCAGCTACAGCTGCATGCCATGGGGCCAAACACCTGACGCTTTGGGGGGTTAACACCGTTGTCTATGTATTCAAATGCCGGATATACCCTAGTTCACCACACACCCGTAACTGTTGGTTGTCTAAAACATAGCTTTCACTGTCTAAAGACGTGTTAAGATTAGTACCAAAACGATTAGATTCCATGGAAGGACCATTTGTTGTGATGAACATCGGAAGAAAGGCTTTAACTGCCGGCCAAAAAGCAAACGACCAAACAAAGGGAAGCAGATCCTGCTTTGACGGCCGTTGTCATGGTTTCCGTGGGTGATAAAAAGAAGGGCCGGTTGTGTTTGTTTTGACCCCGAGTATCCACTGTCAAACTGGTAAAGGCATGTCGTTCCTGGCCGTTCATCTGACATGGGGGGCCGTCCGCCTGCTGGTGTGTAGCTGGTGGTGTACGTTTAAGCTGCTATACGACAGCAAATGAGAATGAGTCGCTCAAGCAGCAGTTATGGTGGGTGTGGGTGTGGGTGTGGGTGTGGGTGTGGGTGTAAGTTTCAGTGCAGAATGAATCATCTGGCGGCTGCGATTGGGTGTTATTTGTGTCTTATAATGTACATCCACCCCGTGATTATAACTGACCATGTCTTTGCATTATTTAGTGCTGTCTTTTTAAACACGATTACTTGTGCTGAACGTGACCACAGATATTTGCAAGCGGGAGACAGTTTGTGCCGAACCCCTCGCCGATAAACTTGCGCCAATAAGCTGACAAGAGTGCTCTCCCTTTGTGCATAGGTCGAGACGAAGCTGGCTGTGAGACATTCCCCCTCAAAATGACAGATACAAGCTAATTAACCTGTTTGCGATGTCAGTATCTTTATTGTGTGCACGATTCAATAAAGAAATATGTACATGTATCTGCACAATTCCAGCTATATCCCCGCTCATCTAAATGCCAAGGCAAGGTCCCGGGCGTGTAATAGTGAGGCAAAGTAGGCGTTAACCGGCAGTCGCTTGTAATGATCCACCTGACATTCAGCACTGGTGGTCCGTACAGGTATTTGGTCAGTGAACCCGATCTACCATCTGGCCAAGACGTGTTACATAGACAAAGGCCGTGGCCAAAACAACAGGCAAGATTAAAACCCTCTCTTTGATTGAACCTTCCGTTCTAAAGAGTCTAACAAGGTTATAGGTTGGCCGTGTAATAATTAAATTACTCTAGTAACACCACATTTTATCATTACTATGTTCCGTCCAATATACAGTTACACGCTTTTAATTTCCAAGGTCGACATGGAAGTAACGTGCTCCTTCTGTACCCAGTTTATGTACTGGATGATATGTGATGAATAAAACCTAAGAAAATCCGCTCGTTGTGTCCCCCCGCCGCGACATGGGGGAACTATTGCTAAGAGCCAACCATGCCCACTCACTCACTGTCTCACTCACTCACTCACTCATTCACTGTCTAGGAGGTAATGAGTGCCACAACTGTCCCAGTATCATACAAGGCACCAGTTGCTACGTGTATCAACTGGATTCAAAATGAGCACTAGACCAGGAGCGCAATCCCTCTTTCTGCCTAAGAATATGTATAAATATATCTAAAGACAATGTCACGGTTATTTAACACAGACGCAAAGACATATTCTAATGTAATTTTGACCAGCGGTTCACCTTATATTTCCAATTATGTTAGTTTTCTTAATAGGGTTTAATCATCACAAATAGGAATTGTTTTATTGAATATACACACACAAAAATTCAGCTACATTAAATCCAAAAGCAGATACTCAAAAAATGACTTTAAAATATTCCTCAGACAGAACATTCATGTAACCTTGCTGTCACACCCTTGGTGGAATTTCAAATGGATTAGCTGAAATAAAATATGAATGACCAAAAAAACACTCAAACTAAAATATCCCCAGAGCTATGAAATATAAACCCAATGTTAAAGATTAAGGTTGATAATTACATACAAATACGATATTATTGTTTTGAAACTCGTAGCGATTATAATTACATTTCCTAAAACTGGTCGAAGCGCACGTACAATCTCCATAACAAGCCCGCAAGATCATCATAAATACACTTAGCTGGACCAATGAGAGCCGTTATGTCAACAAACGCACGTGCGTGTATTTGAATCTCTCAACGTCAATAGCATGATTCTTATTAAAAACTTCATAATAGGCAGCAAAATCCTTTTAGCTACGTTATTTGTACTTTCAATATGACGATATATATTTTTCATATTTTTTTAAACAATGACATAATGCCTTAAACGATTTAAGTATTCGGGATTATTTTTATCAAAGCACCGCGCTCATTTACGCGCGTTCTGATTGGTTTGTCGTATTTTCGCACATAACAAGTATCGTGTGGGTGACGAGCCTTCTTGGAGGTTACGGAAAGGGGCGAGTGGTGACGAATGAGACGCAAAGAGGGAAGGGAGACCACTCTCGACCATTCACGTGTACGTGTACAAAGTAAGTGAAGCGATCATAAAATATCCAGTCTACCCGCATCAGCTTTGTATCCGTAGCTACACACGGGTATAGACTTCGTGTTTGTCATCAGACAACTTGTAAAACACTCGGCTAGAAGACAGCAGCACAGCGGGATACAGCAAATGACCACTGAATATCTTCACGTGTCAGTTAGTTAACTGTCTACAACAACTTCAAGATATCTTAAAACCAGACTTGCTTCAGCTGCCTCTCCCGCTGTGTTGCTGTCACCTTGCTAGTAGATCCAAGGAAGGAAGGAAAACAGACTCACGTGTATACCATTCATTAATATTTATTAAGATATAATCAAGAAATAGAATAGCATTCGCCTAAAGAAAGTATCTGAATTGGGGCCAAAAGTATAAACAGTCTCTCATTAGGAAAGAAATAAACTCGGAAATGTCAGCCAAAGGGTGTGCCAAAACATACTCTCTCTCTCTCTCTCTCTCCCTCTCTCTCCCTCTCTCTCTCCCTCTCTCCCCCTCTCTCTCTCCCTCTCTCTCAACCTTTCTCTCTCTCTTCACCTGTGTCTGTGTGTTCACCTCTCTGTGTGTTTACCTGTGTCTGTGTGTTCACCTGTGTCTGTGTGTTCACCTGTGTCTGTGTTTTCACCTGTGTCTGTGTTTTCACCTGTGTCTGTGTTCACAAACCTGTGTTCACCTGTGTCTGTGTTCACAAACGTGTGTTCACCTGTGCCTGTGTGATCACCTCTCTGTGTGTTCACCTGTGTCTGTGTGTTCACCTGTGCCTGTGTGATCACCTCTCTGTGTGTTCACCTGTGTCTGTGTTTTCACCTCTGTGTGTTCACCTGTGTCTGTGTGTTCACCTGTGTCTGTGTGTTCACCTGTGTCTGTGTGTTTACCTCTGTGTGTTCACCGGTGTCTGTGTGTTCACATGTGTCTGTGTGTTCCCCTGTGTCTGTGTGTTCACCTGTGTCTGTGTGTTCACCTGTGTCTGTGTGTTCACCTGTGTCTGTGTGTTCACCTGTGTCTGTGCGTTCACCTGTGTCTGTGTGTTCACCTGTGTCTGTGTGTTCACCTGTCTGTGTGTTCACCTGTGTCTGTGTGTTCACCTGTGTCTGTGTGTTCACCTGTCTGTGTTCACCTGTGTCTGTGTGTTCACCTGTGTCTGTGTGTTCACCTGTCTGTGTGTTCACCTGTGTCTGTGTGTTCACCTGTGTCTGTGTGTTCACCTGTGTCTGTGTGTTCACCTGTGTCTGTGTGTTCACCTGTCTGTGTGTTCACCTGTGTCTGTGTGTTCACCTGTGTCTGTGTGTTCACCTGTGTCTGTGCGTTCACCTGTGTCTGTGTGTTCCCCTGTGTCTGTGTGTTCACCTGTCTGTGTGTTCACCTGTGTCTGTGTGTTCACCTGTGTCTGTGTGTTCACCTGTCTGTGTGTTCACCTGTGTCTGTGTGTTCCCCTGTGTCTGTGTGTTCACCTGTGTCTGTGTGTTCACCTGTGTCTGTGTGTTCACCTGTGTCTGTGTGTTCACCTGTCTGTGTGTTCACCTGTGTCTGTGTGTTCACCTGTGTCTGTGTGTTCACCTGTGTCTGTGTGTTCACCTGTGTCTGTGTGTTCACCTGTCTGTGTGTTCACCTGTGTCTGTGTGTTCACCTGTGTCTGTGTGTTCACCTGTGTCTGTGTTCACCTGGGTCTGTGTATGTTCACCTGTGTCTGTGCGTTCACCTGTGTCTGTGTGTTCCCCTGTGTCTGTGTGTTCACCTGTGTCTGTGTGTTCACCTGTGTCCGTGTGTTCACCTCTCTGTGTGTTCACCTCGGCGGCTAGAACGGATCATCAAGGACACGCTGGAAGATCTCGGGGAGGACAAGGAGCGGCTGGAGAAACTCCTCACAGGGAGACGGGTTCTGCTGGCCGAGGAACTCAGTGAGTACTGCTTCAAACACCCAGAGAGATGCTTTCAACACCAAATAATTAGACATCCTATAGTTTTACAATAAATAAAATTATAATAATACCGTTATTTAATTTCGTTCAATTTGTTTCAGAAAAAATTCGAAAAATCCAAGATAGATTAGAAGAATTCATTCAAGCATTGAACAAGGAGAAATAGTGCATAATCTTTGTAGGATAACTAAATCCCCCAACCTGGTTGTAGTGAAGACAGGAAGTTTGCAACACGTGCAATGAAGGGGACTGACAAGTCATAAACAAACCATTGTCTATGGACGACTTGGACAGTGATGAAACTATGGTGTGCCATGTTGGGTTCTGACTGACTGGCAGATCAAGTTTCTCTATAGCAAGGCCATGAGATGTCTACCCTGGGAAATGGCTGTGCTTAAGTGCTGTATATCATGTAGGGTGTGTGTGGAAGAGTGATGTAGCTAGGTCTGCAGAATGAAGAAGCCATTCGATTTACAATGTGACTATTATTTATGACTGTTTTCTCATCGTGTGCATCATTCCTGTTTATCAGGGACATTCATACTGGTGTCCATTCCTTGTCCGGATCAATTCCTGCAACATCAGCCATGATGTATTGGATCTAGACGATGCCAGATTAGTGTTGTAGCTTCAGGACATTAGCTGTGAAAATTCAGGAAATGCAGTTCTATAAACATTTATGCTTGTATAGTGTTTTTGATTTACGAAGGTAGCTTCATAAATTAGGACCGAGGGTTTGATAATGGCTGGATGGAGAGTGTATTTGATAAGTAATAAGTCATCCCTTAAAAGGGGCGAAGGGGTAGCTGAGTGGTTAAAGCGTTTGCTCGTTAAGCCGAATATCCGGGTTCGATTCCCCACATGGGTACAATGTGTGAAGCCCATTTCTGGTGCCCCCCGCCCTGATATTGCTGGACTATTGCTGAAAGCAGCGTAAAACTAAACTCAATCAGTCACCCCTTAAATGGTTGATAATAGTATCAGTGCTTCAGACTGTTGAAAAGAAAAGAAATTGTCTACAGCAAAAGAGTCATTGTTGCATGACAGTATAAAAATAATACCTTAGCTCAGAAAAAAGAGGTAGGGTTGCAAAATGGAGGTTAGTTTCCATACAAACTTAAGTCCACCTGTAGAATATCAAGTGCTCAGTCTCTTCGGGGTCCCTTCATGTCCAAAGTACTGATCTGTCAACATGAATTGACTACATAATTATCATGCTTGATGTTGATGTTGGAAGCAAAGTGTTTCGAATGAAATTTTGCTAAGTATGCTTCACATTAATGAAATCTTAACATTTTAAAGAACATGTTGTTTCTATGATATTTTTGCAGAAGTGAGTGAGCATCGTAATCATTCCCTCTGTCGCCTGTCCATCATGCTTACTCAATGACCCCCTGAAAATCCACTGATGTAATAAAAACATGACATATTATATCGACAGCCTTACCACCAAATTGTCTGCCATGCATCATTTTGTTGTCCTTGTGTACCAAAATCAAGAAAAAACCAAGTGTGTTTGCCTCCTTTCTTGACTGGGGCGGTGGGGTAGCCTAGTAGCCTGGAGCGTTGGCTCGTCACGCCGAAGACCCGGGTTCCATTCCCCACATGGGCACAATATGTTAAGCCCATTGCTGGTGTCCCCGCCGTATTATTGCGGGAATATAGCTAAAAGCGACGTAAAACTAAACTCAGTCTGTCCTTTCTTGACTTGATGCAGTCGTCCATCAAACAGGGGATATACTTAGCTTAAAGGTTACAGCTTTTACTCATAGGAAGCCTACAGTGCTGATCTGGGTTGGAATTGATCTTTAGCAACACATGCTTGCCCTAAGAGTTGACTAACAGGAGCGAGTTGTCAGACCTGCTGACTTGGTTGACACGTGTAATCAGTTCCCAATTGTGTAGATCGATGCTCATGATGGTGATCACTGGATTGTGTGGTCCAGACTCAGTTATTTTCAGACTGCCGCCATATTGCTGGAATACTGCTCAGTGTGCAACGTTCGACATTAATGTCAGTCCTTAGGCCCAAAGCTGACCGAAAACCACTCGGACCCACAGCTTTTGTTTTCTGCAGGTCGTTATGGCCGACAACTTTTTCATCCCCTGTAACTAAGAGTATTATTTCCATATTAAAATACAGGGCCTACACATTCTGATCACGACCCACAACTTGTTATGGTTCTGGGTCCTAAGAGCCTGCATGTTTTCAGGGTTAAGGGCAAACACTGAGTGTGGCATTAAACCAGACCAAACAAACATACAAAGCCCAGTGGTGATGTCCTCTGCTCTGATTATTGGTGAATTCGCAGAAAACTGTTTAAGAAAACACATAATATTTATTGCTTACGGTCTCATATTTTCTGGATGAAATTCTTATCAATATGTTGTGACATTTGTAACTCTCCCAAGGCATGAAGAGGGACTGGTAGAGGTTTCCTTGTCATTAATCACCAGTACACCGGGGCTTGCCAAGACATGAAGTGACCGCTGACTTCTCCATTTGTGATCTAGCACATCTAATGATTTAGTTTGTGTGTGTGTGTACTGTTATTTCTGATACACAAGTAAAGGGAGGTTCTTTGTTTTATGATATTGTTTCTGGCAATAATACTACTATTGCAGAAACAGCTTTAACATAACTATGAAGAACCAGAATTCGGCCTAACACTTAACAGAACAGGGCCCCGTTTCACAAAGCTCTCGTAAGCCTAAGATCTCGTAACCTTTCTCGTAGCATTCGCACCTATACGCTAACATAGGAAGTACGAATGCTACGAGAAAAGTTGCGAGATCTTAGGCTTACGAGAGCTTTGTGAAACGTGGCCCAGAATTTTTACTCCATTCAAACACTTCTGTGAAAGCCTGACAGACCGTCCATGGGTGTTGTTGAATTCAGCCTCATCATGATTTTAAGTTACATTGTATATTAATAGAAACTACTGCGGTAATCTAGACTTGGCATATTGTAGAGTTGATTAAGCTGCAGTAGGTATATTTGTTTCAGGGTCAGGGCCCCGTTCCTCAAAGCGATCGTAACCCTAAGATGATCGTAACTCCCATACTTTAACATAGACTTACGACAGTCGTAGCGCTAAGGTGATCGTAACTCCCATACTTTAACATAGACTTACGACAGTCGTAACCCTAAAATGATCGTAACTCCCATACTTTAACATAGACTTACGACAGTCATAGCGCTACGATCGCTTTGAGGAACACGGCCCAGGACCAGAGAGAACTGTGTGAAAGCAAAACACTATTGACGTAAATCTGTAACTGGATGGAACTAAACAGCGTAATTTAAAATAATAGACGAGCTGATACGTGTATTGAAAGGTTGCATGGTGGACACGAGTTCCCCCAAGATATAGCCAAGTGGACTTAAATCTATCATCATCTTTCTTTGTTCTATTCTAGAGAACCATCTGAATCAAAGTCGAGAACAAAGATGAAGTTTTGTGATGCCAGGATCCTGCTGGTGTTTAAGTGCTACATTAAATATGATTAAAGAGATGACTGACTGTGTTGTCTTTTGTTCTTGTATGAGTGAGGTGAAGGTGAAATAGTACCAAACAAATAGGAGCCATATGAAGAAACTATGAATGAAACACAAACGCGTGCGACAGCGGGAATATCAACTAATTGCATCATTGTGAAAACAGAACATTTCTGATGTCACTCGCTGCAATATTGCTGGAATATTTCTTTAAGCAGTGTAAAACCATACTCACTCATTTAAAACAGAATAAATCGTCTGCGAGATCACTAACACCTAAAAGAGTAATTAAAACGTTTAGTTATACAACATATAAAATTACAAGTCATCCCGGCTACAGTTTATGTGTGTCTAACCGTCAGGCATAGACGGACATAGCAACAGTGGGCAGACGTCATCGAAGTTGACGTATGAAGCACAGGGAAATCACTAAAATGACCATTTACGACAGGAAATAATATTTCCTGGTTGTTTTCAACCCAGTTTACGCACTCTCGTCTGTATTAAAACATAAAATCCAATTCAACTGCAATTACAATCAAACGTGTGGAAGTTGAAAGAACCTACGTAAATACTTCGAGTTATCCGAGGTTCTACACAACCGTAAGTTCGACTCAACGGCCGTTTGTATCCCATTAACTGTACTAATTGTGTCCAAATGGCAGACGAGAATATAGCAGACGACATGTTTCAGGTTATCTTCATCACGTGACTGGCTTATGAAGACCCGAGGGTTGTAAGATACTACAGGATATAAAGCATGAACATATTGGCTCACTAATATCTAATTGTAAGTACATTTTGGGGAGTCATGTCATCAAATCATACACATTTGAACTAAATGAGCTCTGCAGGAACCAGACTTTTCAGACCATTTGTCATTGTGAACACTGAAGACAACGCACACACATCTGACATGCTAGTTTTAATTCAGAATCAGACCCGTGAAGATCCGGGGTAGAATAGGTCTTCAGCAACCCATGTGCTTGCCATAAAAGGCGACTATGCTTGTCGTAAGAGGCGACTAACGGGATCGGGTGGTCAGTTTCGCTGACTTGGTTGACACATGTCATCAGTTCCCAATTGCGCAGATCGATGCTCATGCTGTTGATCACTGGATTGTCTGGTCCAGACTCGATTATTTACAGACCGCCGCAATATAGCTGGGATATTGCTGAGTGCGGCGTAAAACTAAACTCACTCACTCACTCACTCACTAATTCAGAATCAACTTCTATTGGGCACACGAAGTAATCTTTTTACATGCAGAAATTATATTACAAATAAAAGAATTCTAGGTTGGTGTAAATGTTGCATATTCAGACTGGTGTCTTGTAAATGCTCTTAAATATACTGATGAAAAAAAATAAGGGAACACCATTTCGTGGTAGTGTTCCTTTATTTATTCTCAGATTTTCGCCCACAGCGCTGTTCAAAACTGGTGAGGAAAACTGGAAAATATTAAAGGAACACTGAAATTTTCCTGTGTTCCTTTATTTGTTTCTCTCAGTATATGTATACTATACATGTAAGTCTAACCACACTTGTTGTCGAAGAAAGTGGTTCAGTTTTTGATTACAGAGGCGTAGCTACCATTTAAAAAACGTCCGGGCTTACAGATGATATTTGCTAAAGATCACCTTCACAAAAGGCACAAGAGGCACAAGAGGAGGGCCAGGAGACAGCTGTCGTGGCTGTAGCTACCAGACGGCATGTAGTAGACGTTGCCGTCGTCCCAGCTGTATTTCCGACCGAACACCGTTGCAGACAACAGCGAGAGATCCAAGGGATTCTTGGTGTCGAGAGTGCCGTTCTTGAAGCTCAACTGCGTCTGCGCAAGGGCGAGACTTCCGCTGTCTGACATCAGCACTTCCGGGAAGAGGTAGGGTGTGTTGAATGTGCCCCATATGTTAATGTTGGAGAAGATGGACCTGGCATCTAATGTTGGTGAGCCGCAGCTTGAATAAGACGAATTGGCACATTTAAGCATTGTGCATATTTGAAGGTAATATTGCCCCTCGTATGTGTGTAGGCCATCAAATGCGCCAAGTGCATACCTGTCACCTTCATGGATGTTGGCCGTGTACTTAGCGTGGCAACAGAGAGCGTTATGGCAAACCTTGATTTCGTCAGCGTGAGAATCTCGAAGGGAAACAAAGTTAAACAAATCATTGAAAGCGTAGGACTTAAATTCAAACTGGTCCACGCTGAGCATCCTCGAATCTGGTTTGGTTTGATCGTTGGCAAGGCGACGTGTAGGTTTATCCAGAACCTCAATGTCCGCAATTAGGAGTTTTCCACCTCCAGAGCCGACAGTGTCGTTGTAATAGTATACCGCAGCGCCGTCTGGTGTGTAAATGCCGCTGCCGTGAAACCTATACTCGGGCCGATGGATGTTTGCGGCCAGGAAGTTCACACCCATCCCCATGGCGAAGGCTGAATGGAACTCCACTGCAGCTAAGAAAGGTAGAGCATCCATCCACGCTGTGGGGAACACGATGTTGCCAACGCCGAGGTCGTCAATGAGGGAAACAGCTGGCTTCTCGAACATAATATCAAAGCAGGTGAACACGCCAAATTTGCCAAACGGCGTTTCAAACACGATATTTTTGGCTTCAGATGGTTCGTCAAATTGGTATTCGAAAAAAAGGTGCTTTTTGTGGTACCTAGCAATGAGTGTACCGTTAGGGTCGAACACAATGTTTGTGTTGTGTTGGTAGTGACCATCAGAGGGGCAGTTGGAGTCGTTCCGGACGGAGCAGGGTTGGATATCGCCGTAGTTTGCTACCAGGTAGAGGGCATTGTCACGTGCGAGGCAGCTGAGACGTCGTTGGACGTCAACGTTGGGTATGTCTGCGGAGGCCGTGCACGGGTTCCATGTCACCTGCTTTGGGTCAGGAATGGTTTCCAGATAAGGCCTCAGTGTTGTCCTCTTGTAACCCATGCCGTAGATTCCATCCTCTGGAGTGACCAGAATATCAACATTCTGCAACGAATAGAATCTGGTAAATGTTCAGATTATAACGATTCCTTATGGCAATACGTCGTTATGACTACGGTGTAAGTATCTACACAGAAACGTGGCCTTATTGTAACATGAAAGCAGCTGTTTCTAACTGATTGATGAAGTATATATATGTGTAAAGGTTGGATATTTTGTCCCAGCCCCTTGCACAAGTAACCAAATATCCTGCCGTTTACCAGTTATCTGATAGGGTTGGGGGGGCTCAAGGCACTGGTACCATGGGTTCCATAGCAACAGTTTTTCAGCTAACCCCGGAGGCTATGCTGTGACATGACAAGGGCAAGCGGGAGCGTGGGGCCCCCAAGCCTGAAATCTTCCTTTTCTGGCTGCACTGTCGAGGTGACAACAAACCATCTTAAAAGTTGTTTATAACTGATTGATGAAGCATATATATACGTTTAGAACGAACTCAAAGGGAGCGTTAATTTTAGTTCATTATAATCGTAGTTCGTCACAAGTGTTTCGACTAAAATATGCAAGTGGCAGGGACAAAACAGTTCGGTTTATCCACCATTTCGTTGTAAAAGTGTTCGTTATAATGTAGTTTACTGAACGGTTGTTGTTTTATCATAATTACGTGTTATGCATTGTAAAAAAAAAAATTATTCTCATTTTTGTTTTCATTTAGGTTCACTTAACACGTCTGGTGCCAAATTATAAAAGTAACTGCTTCCTGTAGGTCTTAATCAGTATTTAATGGTAATATCCTGCTAAGATGAAAATAATGAAGTACTCAATTTATTGATTCGATATTTGCTGCAGTCGGCAAGCCTTTTTCACATTTATTCCGAAATTCCTGGTATCTTAAATTGTTTTAAAGATGACGTGAATGATAACAGAGATGTCTAGAATTCAACTGAAGATATCTTGAACAGAATGATGATATGTTAAAATGAATTAAAACAGTGATAGTTAAAGGTATCTGCAATACGATTCATGAATTAATTAATGAATTAAGGATCTACTGAAGGACATTCATGATATCTTGAAAAGAATTGCTGATATGGTTTAATGATATCAGAATAGGATTTAAAAATATGTACAAATTCATGTTTTTAATATCTGTAATTCAGTTCCTGATATCTTGCAATTAAATACACATATCTTCAATTGAATTGAACTGAATTGAAGATATCTTGAAATGAATTAAGACATCTCGAATTGAGTTAAGTTTTGCTGTTCTTTCCTGTTACTTATATTAACATGTATATCAATCATTGATTTGAAAATATCTTCAAACGTATTTAATAATATCTTTAATTTGACTTCGTTATCAGTAACGGCCAGAATTGAAGCTGCCCCTAACTGAATTGAAGATATCTGTATTGCATTTGTGGATATGCATAAATTATTTCATATTTGATATTTTTACATTTTAGAAATATTATCACGAATATATTTTTGATGTCTCAAAACATTTTAAGATATCAGTCATTCTATTTTGATATCAGAAATTAGTAGGGGCGGTGGGGTAGAATAGTGGTTAAAGCGTTGGCTCGTCACGCCGAAGACCCGGGTTCGAATCCCCACATGGGTACAATGTGTGAAGCCCATTTCTGGTGTCCCCCGCCGTGATGTTGCTGGAATATTGCTAAAAGCGGCGTAAAACCAAACTCAGTCAGTCAGTCAGTCAGAAATTAGTATAAGATATCTTCAAATATTTACCGATATCTTAAAACATTATTGATATCTTTAAATAGGATATAGACATTATTTAAGAAACAATTGAACATATCTTGAGTTTCTTATTAAACGTTTTGCCATAACAATCAATTAGTGTGTCACCGTTTTCACAAAAGTACAGTAATGTACTTTTGAAAATAGCTTTATCAAACAATGCAATGCCCCCTTTCAGCCGGCGAGATTAAGCCTGTAACCTTTAGACTGTATACACACAGCTTGTTGGTCGACGGCATACAGTATGAGCGTAATGTTGACCATCGTGGGATTATTTTACAGTTCCATCGCGTCATGCAACTCCATAAAATCTGTTTGCATTGGTCGCGTTACCACATTCGAGGCTCAATATATTTGTCAATAAACTTATGGAAGACGTGGAGGCCATTTGCAAAATTGATATATCAGTCGTGTTTGGGTTTTTTTTCAGCTGAACATTTGACATACTGTTTGCATGTGTTTGTGACAAGTGGCGGGGCAGGTACGCTTACATTTCTCAAAAGTCTAGTATCATAACTATTTGATAGTGATTCAGAGACACATGTCTGTGACACACAGGAACTCGTTAGCGGCAAGTAAATACAAAATATGTACCCATGTATGAGTGTGTAGTAAAGGATGATTACTTGCAGGTTTTGTTTACATATAAATGTTTTTGTTTATGATATGCTTATATTTGGAATCACTCCGAGGCGAAGACTGACAATTATAGTATGCTCCAATGTATAAAACATGCTTTTGAAAATGTACATCGCTGACGCAAGGGAACTTGTTTGTTTGTTTGTTTGTTTGTTTACGTAACGCCGAACTCAGCAATATATACCAGATTGAGATATATAACGGCGGTCGGTAAATAATCATATCCGAGAAAGACAATCCAGAGATTAATATTATGAGCATCGACCTTCGCAACTGGGACACTATGACGTATGTCAACCAGGTGAGCGAGTCTGACGACTCTGAAGACCAATTCTAACCCTGATCTACACGGGTAAACAAGTATCGGTTGCTGAAGACCAGTTCTAACCCGCATCTTCACGGGAAAAGTCAAGCAGGGGTTGCTGGAGACCGATTCTAACCCGGATCTTGCCAAACCCGGCACCAATACGAAAAGGCAATCTGGTCATGATACATAGTTTTTTGCAGAGGCTATTCCCTACGCACTAACCTGTGTACCAACATTTAGAATGATGGCACAAATGGCTGATTTCACAAACACCTAGGTCGAACACTTCTCTTTAACATTTTGGGTATGATAGGGCACTGATATCTCAACACCCCATACCCACTGAACTTGCATACCCTGAAACAAATTTTGGCCTCTTGGCCGACTTCTTACTGAATGCAAAGAAAATGTGCGTTACTTGTGGATTTCAGTACACCCCGCCCGCTGAGTTTACATGCCATGAAATAGGTTTTACAGTTGTCTTTTTGATGACTTCACCCAATTCTGATAAAATGTGTCTTTGTGTTTTTCATTACAACCCGACCGCTGAGTTAACATGCCCTGAAACAAGTTTTACAATGGCCTTTTTGATGACTTGTCACTGAAATCTCAATATATTTGTCTTTGGGTTTTTGAAACACCACTACCATTGACTATCATGCTGGAAGACTGTACAACGGTCATTTGGTGTATTTGATGATGATAGGATATTTACATAGCGCACATATCCACGTAGCTAGTACATGGTCCAGGCGCTTGAGCGTTCCCTTGATCGACGGAGGTCTTTTTTTCTGGCATTCTTTTAACCATCTCAACCCCCTGGGGAGTATTCAACTCATTCGGCCTGTTAGGCGCAGCGAGTTATCACACAGCCTCATGCTCACAAGGTTTGTCAATTTAAAGATCATGCAAGTATGTACTAGGCGGGTTGGGGAAGGACAGTGTGTTGTCTTACAGTGACGCTATAATATCTTGTTTACCGATATCACTGGTAAATATGCTGAAAGTATATAGGAGATTTAACCTCAACCGACCGACAGAGTAATGGTTTCTCAAGTTACACAAACACTGATTCGTCAAAAATGTAAATATACCATAGGAGTATTCCATACGGGGAACACGTGCTTCATTAGCATATTCCTGTTTACCTTCGTATCTGTGTCTGATCATGACAGTCGGGGCCAACACTTATAGCGAATATATTATAAACTAAAGTTAGGGCGTCCTGTCTTGATGAGTGAGTGAGTTTAGTTTTACGCCGCATTCAGCAATATTCCAGCTACATGGGAGTGGTCAGTAAATAATCGAGTCTGGATCAGATAATCCAGTGATCAACATCATCAACATCGATCTGCGCTATTTGGATACGATGACATGTGCCAACCAAGTCAGCGAGCCTGACCACCCGATCCCGTTAGTCGCCTCTTACGACAAGCATGGGTTTCTGAAGATCAATTCTAAGCCGGATCTTCACGGGTAGGTTAAGCAAATTCATTTCAGTCGAGTCAATCTGTCCTGGGATGTATGCTATACAAAAACTGACACTGAATTGTGTACTTTTTGTCCCAAACATAACCACCGGGAACAACGTGTGTTGCTAAATCTGGTTTATGGACTTACGTACACACGAAAACAGGACTAGGCATTAAGGTGCGTTTGGTGCACCCTCCAATGTTAATCGTAGCACGATCGGGGTCACTAGTCATCTGTACTGGAGATTGTTCAGTATCGCTAATGCCCCCTCTGGCATTCACAACAGCAAAGCAACGTTGTACCATTGACTGCCTAACACCCGTGAACACGGCATTAAGCACCCTGCGGCATGGCATGGGTATGGAACATTCTAGGGTTGGCGTCTCAAGGCACGAAGACTTCGTCCAAGAGCATCCCATACCTAATTGAGGTCAGGTGATCTCGATGGCCACTCCGTGACGTCAAAACCTGCTTTTGCAGGATATCTAACCACCCGAAGGTGCAATAGTGTCCTGCGTAGACGTTCTTAACGGTTTACCTGTGTCAGAATCGGCCTAATATGAGGACGTCGGGCACGAAGATGGGCAGCGTACACACATGAGCTAGCAACGCGACTCACACGGGTTACGTCACGTGTTGCACACGCGTGTAAGGGCAATGAACTTTTAGGCAGTAGTGTACAAGCGGTTTCGTACTGCTCTTGGCAGGTAAGAGACCCCTAAACAATGTGTGTGTTACTGGTTGACGTTCGGTCGTAAACCGATTACGCAAATGACTTAGCCGAAATTGACTGTCCTCGGCATGTGACGTCACGCGTTGCCGTCCTGACCTGGGGGAATCGGATGTCGTATCCGTTTGTTCTCAGGATGTCAATTGTCCTACATCTCACGACACGTACAGCAGCCACAGTAGACTGGCCAGCATGGAGCATGCCAATTGCACGTTCAAGTACAACATGTGTTGTTTTGTTGTTATTGCTGTTGTTTGTTTCTTTTGTTTTCTTGTTTGTTTGTTGTTGTTTTTTGGGGGGGTTTCTTTCTTTTTTTTGGGGAAGGGTGTGTGGGTGGGGGTTGGGTGTGGGTGGGGGTTGGGTTGTTGTTTTGTTTTTGTTGGTTTTGTTTTGTTGGCTGATCTGTATACAGTGCATTTAATGATTATTGTACGATATCATATCAACAATATCAGTGGTAATAATTATTCGGGGGTGGGGGTGGGGGATGAGCGCTAATTATTATTTTATGTTTCTTGTTGTGCTGGACAATCTATTGCAACAGTTGTACATGTAAGACACTGGGTCCCGCTCCACGCGTTCGTAACGTTACGACCTCTCGTAACTCCATGATTTATCATGGCTTACGGATGTCATAAACGCTACAACTGCTTGTCAAGGAAATACAGTATCGGAACCGCGTTTTGACCCAATTGCTCCCTCCATTTATGCAGCTACATGACTGGGACTGACATTAATATGGTATGGCCTTTAGTTCTGCCTGTTTGGTGGTTATTGTGAGATCTACATGTGTTATCTCCGCACCCGGTGACCGCATCTGAAGATTTCACCGCCATTCAACAACCGATGCTTGTCTACCCATGAAGATCAGGGTTAGAATTGGTCTTCAACAACCCATGCTTGTCTACCCATGACGATGAGGGTTAGAATTGGTCTTCAACAACCCATGCTTGTCTACCCATGACGATGAGGGTTAGAATTGGTCTTCAACAACCCATGCTTGTCTACCCATGACGATGAGGGTTAGAATTGGTCTTCAACAACCCATGCTTGTCTACCCATGACGATGAGGGTTAGAATTGGTCTTCAACAACCGATGCTTGTCTACCCATGACGATGAGGGTTAGAATTGGTCTTCAACAACCCATGCTTGTCTACCCATGACGATGAGGGTTAGAATTGGTCTTCAACAACCCATGCTTGTCTACCCATGACGATGAGGGTTAGAATTGGTCTTCAACAACCCATGCTTGTCTACTCATGTAGTAAGAGGCGATTGACGGGATCATTTGGTCAGGCTCGCTGACTTGGTTGATACATGTCATCGTGTCCCAGTTGCGTAGATCGATGCTCATGCTGTTGATCACTGGATTGTCTGGTCCAGACTCAATTATTTACGTGCGGCGTGCGGCGTTAAACAACAAACCAACTAAAACAAACTACAAGTCATCTTTCCTACTTTGGCCGGTGGGGTAGCCCAGTGGTTAAAGTGATCGCTCGTCACACCGACCCCAGGCAGGGAAACAATAAGTGCGATCTTTTACCGTGGTTTGGTGTGACGTCGTGGTGATCGTACGACCTTCCCCCTTTTCCCAGTAGACCACAGAGAGGGATTACCACCAGCGCTGCGTGTCTGTTCTAGATACAAGTAATAGTTTATAACTTTACACAATAAACTACTGTTATAACGAATGGTTATAACTTAGTTCGTGAGACCCGTGAAGATCCGGGGTAGAATAGGTCTTCAGCAACCCATGCTTGCCACAAAAGGCGACTATGCTTGTCGTAAAAGGCGACTAACGGGATCGGGTGGTCAGGCTCGCTGACTTGGTTGACACATGTCATCGGTTCCCAATTGCGCAGATCGATGCTCATGCTGTTGATCACTGGATTGTCTGGTCCAGACTTAATTATTTACAGACCACCGTCATATAGCTGGAATATTGCTGAGTGCGGCGTAAAACTAAACTCACTTACTCACTTAGTTCGTGATAACCGTAGTTCGTTATATGTATTTACACTAAAACACACAACAAATAGCCGGGACCAAATATAGTTCGTTATATCCGTCAGTTTGCTAAAACAGTCATTTCGTTATATCCGTCGTTCGTTATATCCGTCACTTCGTTATGTCCGTCAGTTCGTTATATCAGTCAGTTCGTTACATCCGTCAGTTCGGTTACAAGCGTGTTCGTTATAGACGAAGTTTACTGTAGATCAAGTTAGCTCGAAGTGTCCTACCTGTGTTCGGGCGATTGCGGCTTGACGCTCGAATTCGGCCAAATTAGGTTCAACATAAGCCAACGCTTGTTGTCTGGATACGACAAAGGTCCTGTTAGGAAGGTGCAAGGCGTGTTCAAGAACTGCGGCTCGAAACGTCCGTGACTCCCCTAACTCCACACACAGCAACATCGTCAGCGTGATGTATGTCCATCTTGAAACCATGACTTCGGGTTGTCAAAGGGTCGTGCTGATAACCGATTCCAATAAATTCTTCAATGCTATTTTGTAGATGGCTAAATGTCGTCGATGTAGTTGGGGTTGGCCGTTATCTACTTGGGAGCTTGGTAAAGGATGGATAGGTTACGACATTCAACGATGATGTGCTATGGCACATATGGGAAAGATCTCAAAAGCGGCCTCTTGTTAATGAAGACGTTATTCCTGGGTCAACACGACGAGGGCAGTGTGACCTAAAGTTGACCCGTCCTAGATAAAAGTATGGTAGGGGTTGTCTCATCAGGGAGACAGCAATATATACAAACAAACGTTTCAAAGACAAACATCTTATGAACGCACCACCATTTCCTTTTATAATCACCCCTAAACACAGCCCGTGGGACGCACGTGCTCAACGCAGTAGCCCCATACACGTGTGTGTGTGTGTGTTTCATTCTTGATTTTGACGGTTTTCAAGATGGTCGATAAATCACTGTAGAAAAGAATTTTAACAATCATCTTGCATCACACCGTTGTTAGTGATTGTTTCTCGCCGGGGTTTTTTTGGTTTGAAAATGAAAATCGAACACATGCAAATTTCACATCATACACCAATCACCTTTCAAGAACGATTAATGTACAAACAAGTATGGCCATATGGAAGTCCAAGTAATGAGGCACTCTCAAGATATTCATTTTTATCATATCAACGTTGATTGACTCCGATATATCTCCCTTTTTTCAATCGTAAATGAAATTTTTCAATCGTAAATTAAAAATGAAGTTCCCTTACTTTTTTTGAAGAGTATATATGCATAGTTATCCGATCAATTCCCTTGTGTTTGTCTCTCGAATCTTGTCTGCACAGATCTGCGTAAGTAACCAATCATTAATTTTGTCTGTATGTTCAGACAATTTGTTAAGTAACTCATTATTTAACGTGTGTGTGAGTGTCTGTGTGAGCGCGTGTATTTATGTGTGTGAGTCAGCATGTGTGTTTGCCGTTTCATGATGCACTCAGCCATATGAGGTCGGTCTCTAATGGAGTCTGAACCAGATAATCCGGTGATTGATATCATGAGCATTGACCTGTGTTTAAGTGAATGAGTGCACGTTGTCCCACTGTATGACTGCGTGTGTGTGTGTGTGTGAGAGAGAGAGAGAGAGAGAGAGAGAGAGAGAGAGAGAGTGTGTGTGTGTGTGTGTGTGTGTGTGTGACTACATGTCTGTATATTGTATGTAAGTGTATACTACTGGAATGATGGAGTCATCCGTCTTGTCACATGTCCGTGTGAATATTTAGGAATTAATTGATGAGCATGGATACACTGTTACAAATTAAAAGACAGCGGATTTAACGAGGGTGCTGGTGTTTATTTATGAAACGTTCAATACATATACAATACTTGTCACTGAATAACATCAGTCACAAACGTAACCGTTAAAACTTTTGTATCTTAGAACAGTATATTTCATAAGACTGAACGAAAATATCAAGGACAGGAAACTAAATGAACAATGCAGGTGTTGCAAGTTGAAACAATCATGGCGACAACATGGCTATAAACGATCACACCCCAAGGTTAAACTGAAGAAACCGATCAACAATTAGGGGAGCAGTCTCATGCCCATGGAGATTCCTCCTTAGCGTGGTCGGGTTTCTTAAAAGCAAACTCTTAAATTATTTGTCGCTCAATCACACACTCGCTCAATCATTGTACATTAATCCTAATCCAGACTACACCATCAGGTGAGATAAGCATAGTGATGTCAGATAACGGTAACACTATACGTCACCAGGAACAGGTAAGACCAATCTGGGGCGATCGGGGTTCAGCAGGGGCTAGCGTTAGTCAAAAGTGGTATCAGAGCTATCGAGGTCATCATGGACTAGTAAGGGACATCAAAGGTCCACCATGGGATAATAAGGGACACCAAGGCCGACCATGGACAAGTATGGGTCATCAAGGGTCCACCATGGGATAGTAAGGGACATCAAGGCCCACCATGGACCAGTACGTGACATCAAGGCCCACCATGGACAAGTATGGGACATCAAGGGTCCACTATGGGATAGTAAGGGACATCAAGGCCCATCATGGACCAGTACGGGACATCAAGGCCCACCATGGACAAGTAAGGGACATCAATGGCCACCATGGGATAATAAGGGACACCAAGGCCCACTTTGAACCAGTACGGGACATCAAGGCCCACCATGGACCAGTACGGGACATCAAGGCCCACCATGGACAAGTAAGGGACATCAATGGCCACCATGGGATAATAAGGGACACCAAGGGTCTACTATGGGATAGTAATGGACATCAAGGCCCATCATGGACAAGTAAGAGACATCAAGGCCCACCATGGACAAGTTCGGGACTTCAAGGCCCACCATGGACCAGTAAGGGACATCAAGGCCCACCATGGACAAGTTCGGGGCATCAATAGCCACCATGGGATAAAAAGGGACACCAAGGCCCACTTTGAACCAGTACGGGACATCAAGGCCCACCATGGACCAGTACGGGACATCAAGGCCCACCATGGACAAGTAAGGGACATCAATGGCCACCATGGGATAATAAGGGACACCAAGGCCCACCATGGACCAGTACGGGACATCAAGGCCCACCATGGACAAGTAAGGGACATCAATGGCCACCATGGGATAATAAGGGACACCAAGGCCCACTTTGAACCAGTACGGGACACCAAGGGGCCACCACTGACCACTAAGGGATATTAGGGGTCATTATGGGCTAGAAAGGAATATCAGGGGCTATGATGTGCTTGTGACGGCCATTAGGGGCTAGTAATCGACATTAGGGGCCACCATGGGCTAGCGAGCGGCGCCAGCGGCTATTATGGGATAGTTAAGGGCATCAGGGGGCTCTAAGGGGACAGCGAGATCAAGACATCAATACGCTACGAGACATCGGAAGACACCAGCACATTTAAGGGGAAACGAGGCTCTCAGCACCAGCCTGGAGACCACACACCGCCATGTAGAGATGGCACAGCCAGTAATGAGCATTGTCTCTTTTGTGCAGGTACCATCATTTTACGGTACTGGTTGATCTTCAGTTTCATCTTAGCGACCATCTCGGGTTCCTGCAGTGCTATGTTCCTACTCTCTGTCGGGTCATCTGAAATAACAGCAAGATTAAGGAGAGGGGATTATGAGATAATCCATTTGTATTTGTTATGGCGATGTATTCGGCAAGCATCAGGTTTCAGACTTGACAGAAATGTGACATCACGGAAAGGTACGGAGATGTATGTCCACAACAAACACTACTGACAACATGTTCAATAAACACGTACTTTCTAACACCAAAATATAATGCTTGTCTGGAGTTGTTTCCAAGAGGCAAAGTGTGCAGGGCACTGTCTACATGTATAGTTCTTACTCATGGGTCAAATGCTCTCTTCCCTTCAAGAGGATGCTTAAGCCAGCGAATCACAAGATTCTGCAGCTGTTCTGTGTTTAAACGGACCTACATGGCATGTCAAACAACTGATCTTTGTTTTGAAATGCCTCTTACCTCTCACGTGTTAAGCCTTCTTACCCATCAGGTAATACAGCTGCCCTGTGTTAAGACTTCTCACCTTTCAGGTAACACAGCTGCTCTGTGTTAAGCCTTCTTACCCCTCAGGCAATACAGCTGCCCTGTGTTAAGCCTTCCTACCTCTCAGGTAATACAGCTGCTCTGTGTTAAGCCTTCTCACCTTTCAGGTAATACAGCTGCTCTGTGTTAAGCCTTCTCACCTTTCAGGTTACACAGCTGCTCTGTGTTAAGACTTCTTATCCCTCAGGCAATACAGCTGCCCTGTGTTAAGCCTTCTTACATCTCAAGTAATACAGCTGCCCTGTGTTAAGACTTCTCACCTTTCAGGTAATACAGCTGCCCTGTGTTAAGCCTTCTCACCTTTCAGGTAATACAGCTGCCCTGTGTTAAGCCTTCTCACCTTTCAAGTAATACAGCTGCCCTGTGTTAAGCCTTCTCACCTTTCAGGTAATACAGCTGCCCTGTGTTAAGACTTCTCACCTTTCAGGTTATACAGCTGCTCTGTGTTAAGCCTTCTCACCTTTCAGGTTACACAGCTGCTCTGTGTTAAGACTTCTTATCCCTCAGGCAATACAGCTGCCCTGTGTTAAGCCTCCCTACCTCTCAGGTAATACAGCTGCTCTGTGTTAAGCCTTCTCACCATCAGGTAACACAGCTGCTCTTTTAAGCCTCCTTACATCTCCGGTAACACAGCTCTTCTGGGGTAAGCCTTTATACCTCTCAGGTCATACAGCTACTCTATATTAGGTCTTCTTACCTCTCAGGTTATACAGCTGCTCTGGAAGGTCTCCGACAACGTAGCTCCCGACATGCAGTGGTTCATCCTCTGTGGTATTTTGAGGTCTGTACCAGTCGTTATAGGACCCTGTATAGCCGAGGATGAGTTTGTAGTCGCCATCTCTAAAACAACATATACTTGTCTATTGTAGTCGCCATCTCTAAAACAACAACACACACACCCACCACCACCAACACACCCATCACACATGCACACCCTCCACACACACACACACAGCCCTCCCACCCCCCTCACCTTATCGCGGCGGTACCAGCGTTGAAGAAATCGGCATGAACATCGTCCAGATTGTAGACAAACTCTGTTCTCAGGGAAGGCGACCCTGTCCGAATGTTCTCCCAGAGATTTATCCCGTCTATGTCAGCTTCTGGAACAATACCACATTAATATTGTCATGGTGACCTATAAAAGTTGTGCAACCAAATCAGAAACATAGACTTTGTGTCCAATCCTTGGAATAGTACTGAACACACATTTTGAACAAACTCTTTGGGAATATTCTGTGAAAGTGTTCTTGCAGTTTCGAGTCCCAATGGTGTCAGGACCCTTCAACAATATTGAAACAACACCATTTTGTTTTCATTTCGTTGAAATGACAAAAGGAAATCCAGAAGCGATACATGCATATCTTCTGAAATCAGTGTGTACAATGTGTGAGATTGTCATACCCAGCCAAATATCTGCCATGGTCACTTTCCAACGAAGCATTAGATAGCATCATGTTCAAGAAGGTCATGTTGAGTGTGTCTGTTGTATAAACTCAGTCTGTCTCACCTGGCGTTCCTCTCCCTCCCGTCGCCGCCCCCAGCAGGGTCGGCCGCCAGTCCACGACGTGTACCAACCTACAACAGAGACGACTTCATGACAACTTTTCACAGCTCCTATATCATACGACTGACGTGAGTCTATCTGAAAGCATGTGCACCAGCCTACAACAAAGACCTCTTCAGTAACGACATCAGCAATAACGACCATCCCACTTCACCACAACAACTGACCCGTCACAGCTGACAACCACACCAACTGACCCGTCACAGCTGACAACCACACCAACTGACCCGTCATACGTGACCCCCGTCCTCTGCAGCCCCACACCGTGCAGGAAACTGACCGATCTGTGACCACCCTCCCAGATTGAAAGCTTGCCTCCCCTTAGAGGGAAGCTGTTGCCATGGAAGGGCATGTCGGGTCCATTCTGTAAAGACAAATGATAAAAGTAAATGTGATAATTTTGTACCTTTAAACCACTTATTAAATCACAGACCCGTGAAGATCCATGTTATAACTGGTCTTCAGTAGCCCATGCTCATCTCCTCAAGAGAAGATTCGCGTATATGGCGGCGGTCTGTAAATCATCGAGTCTGGGCCAGACAATCCAGTGAGCAACCGCATCAGCATCGATCTGCGCAATTGGGAACCGATGACATGTGTCAACCAAATCAGCAAGCCCGACCACGACAAGCATGGGTTACTGAAGATCAAATCTAACCCGGATCTTCAGCGGTCTGTCTAATTTGAAAAGGTGGAATAAATAAAGTTTTAAAATATAGAATTTGACGGGGTTTTATTTTAACAATAGTTATAAAACTAGACATAATTTTTGCCTAGAGATAATGGACACTTAAGACGTTACTTTCAACGGTATAAGGGAGACAACTCCATAAGCATTGTTACCAGTGTGACAGGACCGCCCCCGTGGTGTAGTGGTTAGAGCGTCCGTCCGGAGAGCGGCAAGGTCGCGGGTTCGATCCCCGACCGCGTCATACCAAAAGACGTTAAAATATGGTACTTGTTGGCCCCTGCCTGGCGCTCGGCATTAATTGGTAATTGCGGCAATGTATCTCAGTGGGCTAGCACTATAAAACCAGCTTCACTCTGGGCTAGTACAAGCAGCCGCACATACACATACACACGCATGCACGTCGTCATATGAGCGAAATATTCCCAAGCACGACGTAAAACCCCAATGTCACCTCACCTCACCAGTGTGACAGAAGTTACCAACCAGAGTGACTTCCCTTGGGGGACCCTGCATGTAACCCCTCGGAATAAACAAGTCTGACATCACGTCACTGTACGTTGTTGTGTCACTGACTATGGTCGGTTATGGTGAAGAGTGAAGACACTAAACTATGTCCATATGACAACACGATACGACCAGTGGACGTCAGACCAACATTGCAACGTCACTCTTACGACATCTTCTACTTACGTCAGATAAGAACAGTATGAGGGTGTTGTCCATCATGCCGCGGTTCGTCAACGCCGCGGTGACGTTGCCAACGCTTTCATCCAGAGCAGACACCATGCCTACGAAAGGGACATAGATTATATTGGTTATGATATACTACATATATGTTTTGGCGGGATAGATAGAATCACTATTAGTATATATTATCGTCACGTCCGGTAACCTGCAATCGTGGCGAGGTAAAAGATCACTTTTATTATGTGTTCTTTGCTTCTCCGTGTCAATCTCGATTCAAGCAAATGATACAATGACTGACAGTCCGTAGAGAACAGAAACCTGACACATGATGGAAAACAAACGATAATGAACAGATTTTTGTTACATGATGGATAACAATCGATAATGAACAGATACTTGTTACATGGTGGATAACAATCGATAATTATACTTGTCACATGATGGATACCAATCGATAATAAAATGATACTTGTTACATGATGGATAACAATCGACAATGAAACTTGTCACATGGTGGATAACAATCGACAATGAAACTTGTCACATGGTGGATAACAATCGATAATGATACTTGTCACATGGTGGATAACAATCGATAATAAACAGATACTTGTTACATGGTGGATACCAATCGATAATGATACTTGTCACATGATGGATAACAATCGATAATGATACTTGTCACATGGTGGATAACAATCGATAATGAACAGATACTTGTTACATGGTGGATAACAATCGATAATGAACAGATACTTGTTACATGGTGGATACCAATCGATAATGATACTTGTCACATGATGGATAACAATCGATAATGATACTTGTCACATGATGGATAACAATCGATAATGAAAGATACTTGTTACATGGTGGATAACAATCGATAATTATACTTGTCACATGATGGATAACAATCGATAATGATATTTGTCACATGGTGGATAACAATCGATAATGAACAGATACTTGTTACATGGTGGATAACAATCGATAATGATACTTGTCACATGATGGATAACAATCGATAATGAAAGATACTTGTTACATGGTGGATAACAATCGATAATTATACTTGTTACATGATGGATACCAATCGATAATGATACTTGTCACATGATGGATAACAATCGATAATGATATAGAACAAACTTTATGGATAACAACTTCTAGTTATTCGTGAGTGCGACGTTTCAATACAGATTCTTGTACCGTTGTCAAGCATAATGGAACATGAAGAAGGGGGAAGTGTATATATACTGGATGTAACACGGTAACAAAGAAAACAACATAATTAACATGATTGGCGAGGCAGAAAGCTGATGAAGCCAGAGAGTAGACAAAGGACAGGCGTGGAAGCCAATGATGTACAAATAATAATGAGATGTTTATACAGCAGAGTTTATACAGTAGATTGGGCTTGGTGGATGAGAGCATCATAAGCGGATGGAATGAAGTATCCTTGGTCTCGGTTGATGGTCGGCTTTTGGCGTTTGATGTGGATGGCTTCGGTGAGCTTGCGTTTAGTGAAGTCTGTTTGTTTGTTAGAGAGAATGGTGATGTCAGACCACTCTATTTGATGATTGGGGCTTGCTTTGATGTGGTCGGAAATGGCTGATTTGCTGTCGGAATTGGTAACAGAGGTCTGATGTTCTTTCACTCGGGTGTTGATGGGTCGGGAAGTTTCGTCTATGTAGCTCTGCCCACAGTCACAGTTTATTTTGTAGATGACACATTTTGGGTTGTTGTTCTTTACGGTGGCGGGTTTTCTTCCATTGGCATGGAGAATGTTTTTAAGGTTGGAGGACGCGGAGAAGGTTACCGATGACGTCGTAACATCGTCTGTACATGGAATGAATTAGCCGGTTGATGAAGGCCACCGGCACTTATCTGCGAAATGCCTGATCGAGTCCAGCCGCAGTTGGCAGCCTTGGTTGGAGGTCATTCAGATTTCCTTGAATATGGTCCCAAAGGTGTTCTATTGAACTTAAATCTGGACTGAGTGCAGGCCATTGTATGGTTTAGATGCCATGTTGTCTTAGGAAGTCCAGTGTTGCTCTGGCACTGTGGGCACTAGCATTGTCTTGCTGGAAGATGTGATTTCTGTGACGTCCAAAATATGGTACAACGTGGGATCTGAAGACTTGGTCAATATAGCGAGTAGCTGTCTCGTCATTTCCACGTCCTGGACCGAGATTCTGGAACACCAAAGGGGCGAACTCTCTGGTTCAGACCGATTGCACCTCACACAATGATGTTTGGACCACCCCACGGGTCTCTTTCAACAAAACATGCATTGGAAAACCGTTGCCCACCCCATACTCTCACTCTGCCATCGGCTGTCGAAACACAATATCGGCTTCCATCACAAAAAAGCACTGTTCTCCACTGTCGATAACGCCAATTGCGATGCTGAGTTGCTATTTGCAGTCGGTTTTGAAGGTGAGGACAGGACCACGGTATGGTCTGTGACAGTAGAGGTTTCCTTCGCGCAAACGTCGACGCACTGTATCGGCACAAATGGGTCTGTTGTGAGTCGCTATGGTCTGGCTTGTTGTTTCCGTCGCTCTGGTGAAGCGATCCTGCAGATCCTGACAATCTGTTGGTCTTGACGTTATGATGTTACTGCAGGTGATCGATGCTGTTAGTGGCCTGATACAACTGTTGCAGACGGTAGATTGTCCTTACATTAACGTAAAAATTATCGGCTACCCTCCGTGCAGCCTGGTCAACTTGCAATCGTCCCAAGGCTTGATTCCTCTGATCTCTCGTAAGTCGTGGTATGGCGAATGTGTCAACATAAGAAAGATTTCAGGCGAGTTTTGGACTTGCTTTCGTTGGTAGGTTTGTCACGATATGCACGCACTTATCATTTTCACGAATGTTATACGGAACCTTTTACCACATCTGCCTTTTCAGGTGTGTTTGGTCGATATGCTTTTTCATCAGAAAACACACTGATGTTGGTAATAACTGTCATTTTGTATTGAAAAACATGTTAACCATACGGTACAATTATAATAAAAACAGCAACTTGTAAGAACAAAATTTTGCAGTTGGTTTTGAAAAATGACGTTTCTTTTGTGGTTCAGTATATGTCCTACCACAATAAGTCTTTCGTCCCTCGTTCATTACATCCGGGTACATCTTCGAGTACTTCTCGGGCACCTGGAAACAGTGAGAGAGTGACGTTGGTTGTTTCAGTTATATTCAGTGATGTTTAGCAGTAAAGCCTGAAATAATGCAGATATTAAATATTTAGCACTTTGGTGAAACCCATGACCATACTGACATGTTGCTGAAAAACTAACAATATGAGATAGATAAGACTTTATCAACTCAAGGACCATTTTTGTTGCTGGTGGAGTAGCCTAGCCGTTAAAGTGTCTCTCATCACGCGAAAGACCCACATGGGTACGATATATGCAGTCCATGTAATGTGTCCCATGTCGTGATGTTGCTGGAGTATAGTTAAGTTAAAAGCGGCGTAAAACCATACTCACTCACTCACTCACTAAGAATGATAATGATTATAATCAGGAAGGGTCCACAATCAGCAGTTTCAGGCAGATCCATGGAACCGGAAGAGTCAACGTGTCTTCCTGGCTCCATACACTCACAATAAACAGTCACTCACTCACTCACTCATCCAGTCAGTCACAATCAAGTTTCAGATGCACAGGAAAAAGTATATTTGTGTCGAAGTGTATATATTGTACTCAGTGCTCACACTTTGCTAAGGATCACAAAAATTCCCAACTTTACTTAAACATAGATTTATATAATTTGAAATTGTATCCATTTAAAACTGGATAAATAATAATATGGTTACCTTTCTTTAGGCAAACAGACACTTTAATCTAACCTTATGCACTTGATACATGAGTAACCATAAAATGGTTTTCATGGCACCAATCAACCATTTTGCAAATCATGGCACGAGTTATTGACAAGTACACTACACCTGTCAATAGCAGGTATGGGATCCACAAGATGCAATGACATACCGAAACCTAGGATCCATGCTCAGATATTTAAACCAAACTAGATTTTAACATGTGTAAGAATCAGGTATATGTACAAAACAGATTATTAAGTTTTCATACTTGCATTCCCGTCTTGAATGGGTATCTGCCAGTCATCAGAGCTGATCTTGTTCTGGAAACAGAGCGTACCTTGTAAAAACCATCATCCCCAGTAGACCAAGACTTCGAGATGAGGTTATTCCTAAACATATCTTCATCGTGTAGACGGAATTGGACAATGAACTGTGACATTTTTCAGAATACGAAAACGGGTTTGCCTTTTTTATTTATCCTCGGGGTCAGTGTTCCCTTAAAATAGAAGCGTTATAGATGAATAATGAAGAAGACGTTGTGTCCTCCTCAAACTAATTCATTTTCAAATGAAAAAAGTTCAATACTGAGTCGGTTTTCATTTGGTTCTTCACAATTAAGACTTAGGTTCCATTCCAAGGTGGGTAAAAGCCCAATGCTCAGTTCATTCTGGTTTCTCACCATCGCGTTTCCACTTGAATAACATTGTAATGGCCAAAGTTGTTTTATTTTATCATTGGTAAATTTTATTTTCTGTTTTAATTTTAGTTTTGTTTTCTCAAAATTTTTACTTTGGTAAAATATTAATTTGCCAAAATTTTGTTTTCCACTTCTGGGTTTGAACTCACATCTCTCTGTTTCTACTCAGTTTCTGTTAGACTTTATATCAAGGGGCTAGTAACTCTATAACCAGGGGTGGGTTACTCTAGTTTAGACTGGTTTGGGACCATGTGCTTGCCTGAGTATGCAGCACACTTAGATGAGAAGCCAAGGACTACATTACCCAAAAAATAATGGTAGGAAATCAATTTCATATACTTAGTAAATGTCTTTATCTTTCTTTAAGTGTTATAAAGTAATTTTTTAGAATTTATCATTTGTAATTTTTTCAGTAAATTCTATTTCTTTGAGTTGGTTTTTTTAGTAGGTCTAATTTCTATCATTTTCTTTGGTATTTTTTCTTGAGTAATTTAACTCAAAATCACCTTTTATTTTGTTTCAGTTAATCTGTTAGTATTAAGAAAGAAATTGCTTGACTTTTGGAAAGGAATTGGAGCAATGGACCTTCAGTGTGTTTGAACACCAAAGAATAAATGAACTCAACCAAGAAGGATTCTTTTTCTTTATTTTCACACATACAGCATTAACATTATTTTGGGTACAAGATGAGTGAAGTTAAAAGAATAAGAAAGCCAACTGAAAAAGGTCAGCCCTATTTGGTTGATATGAGGCAGAAGAAAATGAGCAGCATTTTTAGAAGTTTAAGAAAGAAATTTGACAAGATAACTAAGACAATTGAGAACAGCATCATTGACAAAGAGACTATAGAGAATGTTAGAGCTATGTACAAGGAATGGCTGGACAGTTACGATGAATTATTTCAACTTCGTATAGAGCTTGTTGGTCTGCTTGAAAAGCAGATTGACATAGAGCATTTCGAGAGAGAGGGTGCCGCTCAAGATATGGAATTAAGGGTGATGAAATTCGACATAGATAAATTCTTCCTAAAACATGAAAGTCAACTAAAAGCTGACAGGCAAGAACTTTTGACTACCAGAAGTATAGCCAATGAATCGGACCACAGCTCAAGTCGATCCAGTACAGTCTCGTCCGCCCGTCTCAAGGAAAGACAAACAACAGCAGAATTAAGTGCAAAGCGACAGGCCCTAGAGAGTAAGCGAAGATTAGAGCTTGAAAAATTAGAATTGAAAATGAAGGAAGATGAGCTTGAACTTGACACCCTCTTGAAGATTTCAGAAGCCCGCTTACATGCTATCGACGAGTTCGATGAAGAACAACAGCCCCTGAGTTCAACCCCTTTTGCACAAAGAAATACTTCAGGCAGATTTAATGAAGAACAACAGCCCCTCAGTTCAACTCCCTTCTCACAGAGAAAGGCTGCCAACAGGTTTGATAAAGAGCAACTGCACAGTTCCACTCCAATTGTGCCAAGAAATGTTCGTATTCGGGAAGAGGAAGATTTTGTTCATCGACAGAGGAGACCACTAAGAGAACTACAGCCCCCTGACAGAGTAGAGGCTGTTGTGAGACAACTAAGGAGACCAGTACCAGAGATAAAGAAATTTGCAGGAAATCCCACTGAGTATACAAGGTTCATGCGGCAGTTCAGGGTAAAGATTATCGCCAACACAGAGACGGACGATGAACGGCTTAGTTATCTAGAACAGTTCACCACAGGGGAAGCCAACCAGATAGTATCCGGTTACAGCTACCTAGATGCCGAGACTGGCTATCAAGCTGCTTTGAAGGAGTTAGAAGAGAGATATGGTGATGACCAATTAATTGCACAATCATTCATTAAGAGAGCACTAAACTGGCCCAACTTAAGACCTGAGGACACGAAAGCCCTTGACCAATATGCTATCTTCCTGTCGGAATGTCAGCATGCAGTAGCGAGTATTCAAGCTGTAAAAGTCTTGGAGTATCCAGACAATGTAAGAAAATTGGTTGCCAAGTTGCCCTTTTATCTACATGACAAGTGGAGGAATGAAGTTTTGAAATGCCGGACCCATCATGAGAATGTTACATTCAGCCAGTTTGTCGACTTCGTGAAAAGAGAGGCAAAGAAAGTTAATGACCCTATTTTTGGACGAGAAGCGATGAAGCCAGATCAGAAAGTGAATAAATGTAGATTCTCCATCGCTAACAGAGGCAAAACCAGCAATGCTGCAGGAATCACAAGTTCAAGATATGAGAAAAGAGACCAACCAAGTTTACCCATGTACCCTGCAGCTAAGCCCACATTAACTCATCACTCTGAGAGACAGTTTCCAAAGAAAACGTTATGCACATACTGCAGTGGTATACACCTCCTTCAGGATTGCCAGAAAATTATGTCACTGCAACACATGGACAAGATTGAGTTCCTAAAATCAAAAGGGATATGCTTCAGGTGCCTCAAGTATGGACACATCAGCTCTGAGTGTAATGAAGAAACCAAATGTCGTATCTGCGGCCTTCATCATCAGACGATACTTCACTTTCGAGGAGGACAGCAGTCAATGAAAAAAGAGACTGGATGGACAAGGCCTGGAATCTCCAACATGTCATCAGCTATGGATGAGTGCGACACAACAATGGCGATCATACCAGTCAAAGTGAGAATGAAAGATGGCATTACCATAGTGGAAACCTACGCTTTCTTAGATCCAGGTAGTAGCATATCATTCTGTTCCACCTCACTTATGGAAAAGTTGGGATGTCACGGAAAACCTATGAAGATAACGATTGAAACCATGGGATCTCCTCACACTATGGATACTAGAGTCATTCAAGGTCTACAAGTATGTGATTTAAATCTTGAGAATGAGATTCAGATGCCAACACTTTACACAAAGGACAATCTTCCGGTGTCAAGGTCACACATACCTACATCAGATGACATATCACAGTATCCACATCTGAGAAACATTGACATACCGCAGTTGGACTGCAGCATAGAGTTACTCATTGGGAACAATGTACCTGATGCCTACACGCCACAGCAAGTCCGTACCGGAGAACAAGGCACACCACATGCTACAAAAACCCGTCTCGGATGGATCTTATGGAACGTCGTCAGGAATTCAGAAAGTGAACATGGAAACTGTGGACTAACAGTCATGAGAACAGATGTAATTAAGATAAAGGAAGCAGAGAATATGAGAGAGCTTGACCAGCTTGTGAGACAAAACATGAACATTGAGTTTCCTGAGAAGGGTGTAGAAGATAGAAAAGAAATGTCGCAAGAGGACAAATTGTTCCTGAAGAAAGTAGAAAACTCTGTTGAGATGAAAGATGGTCACTACCACATTCAGCTCCCATTTAGAAATGAGAACATTGAGATGCCGGACAACCATGACTATGCACTGAAAAGATTGAACAGTTTGAGAAAGAAGTTTGAGAAGAATACTCAATTCTACAGAGACTATAGTGAGTTCATGATGAAAGTGGTCAGCAAAGGCTATGCTGAGAAAGTACCTGAAGAGGAATTACAAGGCCCAAAAGGAAAGACTTGGTTTATACCTCATCATGGGGTATACCACCCACGCAAACCAGACAAAATCCGGGTGGTGTTCGATTGTGCGGCGAAATACCAGGGTGTTTCACTAAA